ACCTATAAATAGATGGAAGTTTGACCCGTGTCAAAGGTTGGGATGTGGCTGACGATTCGGGATGTGGCTGCTGGTTGGCGAAAGGAAAAAGCGCAGCGCCGGGTGTACGTGGTGCGGCAATGAGCAGAGCTGACAGTTCCGGTGATGAACGATTGCAGGAAGGAACAGAAAAAGAAGGCATTAGAAAAAAAAGTGACGGGAGGATCGGGAGTGAGAGAAAATGGAGAAACCAGTGTGCCAGGATCTGGGTGATAAAGGTGTCTCTTATCTATCTGATCTGATCTGATCTGATCTGATCTGATCTGATCTGATCTGATCTGATCTGATCTGATATATCTTATCTTATCTTATCTTACGGTGAAACGTGGACAGTGGTGAGGGTTGTAGAATAGAGTCGTTTAGGGGAGGGGGTGTGCGGGGGTGGGGCGTGGTGTGGGTGGCTCTACCTGTTTGTTGTTGTTGTTGTTGCTGTTAATGTTGTAGCTGTTGTTGTTCTCCGCCCCTCGTGCCCTCCACTGCTCTAGCTGTAGCAGGGAGAGACATCGAGACATTGTGTCCGTGCTCTCAGTGACCACACACGTCGCCATGGCAACACAGACTCCGACCTTTGCTCTGTCCACGACTACAGCAGTCCCAGGTTGTCGCGGGGTGTAGGGAGACAGGTCGGTACACCGTCACCGGAGAGCTTCTAGTCACACCAAGGCTTTGCTGCTTTCTCACACACACGCACACGCACGCACACACACGCAGGCACATGCACAGAATTCCTGTCCTAATCTGACCCACTGGCGGTTTGCTCAATGAAGCATGCCGTGAAGACTTTCCAACAATTCCAGATTTTTCGAAAGAAGGTCTGATTTGTTGTCTTCCCTCAGATTGTAGGTAGAGAGTAACCAACACGGTAACGACTAGCTCACTGGCTAGCCACACATGCTGTGAATGTTCCCGCAAAACGTCTGTGTCCAGCCACACGTGTTTCTCCCGTGAAGTGGCACCGCACGTAGATCTATACTGCGACACACCGCAACTACACACCTTCTACTGACGTCATACACGCACGAATACATTGGGAACAGAAAATTCTTTCAATTTAGAACCTCTTTAAATAATATTCCAGGGGTTGCTTTGTTAAACACCGGCTAGTTTAACTTTTTTTAGTCTGCGAAAAGGATTCTTTTTACTTCCGAGAAGAAGCAGGATTAATGAGCTTGCTACAAGATTAATGAGCTTGCTACAACAGTTAAAGACGACCCGAGCAACAACAAGCTAACAGTCGAACGTCAATTTGCCTTTCTATTGTTGATGTACGAGTCAGAGATTTCTTTACCGCGCGCCTAGAGCTGACTTTTGCTGAGAAAGAGATTCTATTTCTGAGGTAAATGACGGTCAAGGAAAAAGCAGCTGGCTACATCATTAGACTGAATTCACGCGGATAGCGGGCCAGGACAGGACAAGACGCAGGTTGCAGGCAGTTGGCTTTGTACAAAGGTCACTGATGTTTATTTATAGGCTCGTCCACGGAGGTTTTCACGCGATTTCATCAGCACCTCACCGCGCATACACCTCGTAAACTCCCCCGGAAGGCAGGGCGGGGCGACGGACTCCTCAGCCCGGGATGTCGCGGACGTTACATCAGCCAAACCATCGCGCGTGGATAGATCCCATAGATCCCAGCCGCCCACACACCGTGGTTTCTTCCTGTAGATCTATTATAAGCCCGTCAGTTGGAGTTTTTAAAAATTAATTTATTTGTTAAAATATATTTTTAGTTCGAGTAGCAACACAATTGGGTTATAGCAATAGCAATTGCTGAAGAATAGGGTGTTTTTAGAGAGTTTCTTCGGGATTTTTTGTAAGTGTTTTACGGCGCTCGCAACTGCATAATAGGTCATATGAGCGTGCGGGACATATTAAACATGTTCAGTTGGTAGGACATTTCTATTAAAGAGTAACTTAAAAGGAAAGAAGGAGTAGAGAGGAGAACGATATATGTTTAATAGGAAAGAAGGAGGAGAGATAAAGACAATAGGTATTTGATAGGAAAGAAGGAGGAGAGATAAGGACGATTGATGTTTGATAGGAAAGAAGGAGGAGAGATAGGGGTGATAGATATTTGATAGGAAAGAAGGAGGAGAGATAAGGACGATAGATGTTTGATAGGAAAGAAGGAGGAGAGATAAGGACGATAGATGTTTGATAGGAAAGGAGAAGAGATAAGGATGACACAAGTCCGATAGGGAAAAAGGAAGAGAGAAAAGGTTGATATATATTTGATTGGAAAGATGGAGGAGAGATACGAATGTCTGATAGGAAAGAAGGT